TCCCGTTTAAAAAGAAAATATTCTCGTGATTTTTGACGACGTCGGGACATCGTATCTCCATCGTATGCAACGAGGAAACAGAAGAACCCTGTGGTCTTAAAAGGAAGAGGAAAAACGGATAAAGGATATAAAGAAAGTACAAAGAGAAAATGTTGAGAGTGTGTATAAATTTATAAATCACGAATGGTAAAGGAAGAAGATTCGTTCGGTCAGGTAAAACGAGCGCATGAAAACGTCTGGAAATTAGCGTAGCCATAAATAAACGGAATATAGAATATTCTTGAGAAAGTAGAACGGGACACGAAGTAAATGGTGGATGGTTGTACGTTTATTTCGCTCGCTATTTATCCTTTGCCCGGAGGGCATGCATCATTTTTACGAGGGGACGGAAAGTCAGGAAAACCGCGGACCAACGTAAATGGGGCAAAACGATAAAAACAGAGAGAGAGAGAGAGAGAAAAGAAACGAGCTGTACGCTTTCCTTGTAATTACGCTACGTTGCCATGCAAAATGGACCGTGGTACTCGGCCACGATGTTCATCCCCTCTGTCGAACAATCATTACCAAAAAACGTTATCGTTCGAATCTCTCAGGTTGTACCTACGATTTTCTAACACACGAACAATCTTATCGAAAGAAGATCGATCTCACTTAGGGCTGGGGTTACCAGGGTAACCCATAGCAGGGTACCCGGCTATAAAATGAAAGAACTTAATTAACAAGAAAAAGCACGGAAGAGTAGGTTGTAAAATGGATACGAACCGAGACGTGTATATTTATGCCGCTGCTATTTACCCCTTGCCCGCAGGGCGTGTATCATTTTTACGAGACTAGGGCCTGGATGAAATAACGTAGGACGACGATGAAGAAGAAGAGGAAGTACGAAGAGAAAAGGAAAAGGTCGTGAAGATGGTGGGTGAAAGTATTGGAAAACGGGCTGCGCGGCGAGATAAAACGTTTCATAAAACAGACATCGATTCCGTATTACTCGGTGGCGCATCGACGTGAATCGAGCAGCTTCGGGCCTGGCGACGAGTAGCTGAAAAGTTGTTACCAAGAAACTGAGAGGGACCAGATGAACGGGATACACCGCTTCCATATTGCGTCCAAGGTTCGACCGCTCTTATACCAACTATTTCTCGCCTATTTCTTCTTCTTTTTATTCACCGTCTATCGACGCCGTCCAACCGGTCGGGAAAATCCTGCAGGAAGGAAAAATGAAGTGGAATCGGTTGTTGAGACGCTGGCTGAATCGTAGAGGGAGGAAGAAATAAGAGTGCACGAGGGTGAAACACGTACAAGATTTATCGACAACCAGCGAAATAATATTTAGACGATGAGGTAATTTTCAACGAAATAATATTTTATCGATTGTCAATGTTCCTGTAGGCTGGACACGTAACAACGAAGAAATTTTCGTGAATTATCAGGCAAATCGAATCGAATAAAAAGCAATTTTTATTCTGCCCTCTGTAGTTGAACGATCGACGAAAAGGGTTCGTTGGAAAGTTAAAGAGTTCCTTCGAATCGTTACAGTCAATTAATAAATCATGATGGATTAAATTGCACGATTTAACGTGGATGCTTTGTAATTTCGAGATTTCTTAAGTGAAGATAGTTTTACCAGGTAGAAAAGTTTTGTTCGTTCGAGTAAAAGACTCGACGGGTCGGACGTTTCCGATTGTTTCATCGTAAAACTTGCAGGCCGAAAGACACGCGAATCGAATTTCATCGTCCTCCGTTCTTTCTCGAGGATCGACAGGGAAGTTTTACGCCCGCTGAAAAGCGGTTTCGTTAATTTTATAGGTCGTCGAGATGGCAGCCTCGTAAATACAAAGAATCGCGAGACCCCCGTAATTACTGCACGCCTGCATTATACAGCGCTAGCTAATGCTACATAATTATGGTGCATTAAGCCTTCCTTCCCTAACAATATTTCACTTGACATCATTTTTCTTTTTTCTTTATCCACTCTCTTTCCTTTTTTCTTTATTCTCCACCGTGAGACAGATCTGGACACTTCGTTTCACGACTGCTTTTCGTCTTTTCTTTTTCGGATAATCGTAATTGGTATTGATAATACGCAATTGAGACGGTGTTTCTTTTTTTTTTTTTTTTTCTAACGGAGAAACATGGATGAAACAGAACGGAACTTTCGGCCCATACTTTAATCCTCTCACGATACACCGACAAGCTAGGCTTCATCAATCTCCGACATTTTAGCCACCCTCTATCACGTCGTCTTTCAGCCACGATCATTTATTTCGCGATACGCTTCCGCCTTGTATGCACGACTGTCACCCGGAAATGGCCACTCCACCGGAAAAATTTTATCAAACCACGGGACGCTGGTGAGACATTTACCCTGTCAACGAGTACATTGACCAGCTTTCTGCTCTCCTACCCGGTGCTTATTGCCATCCGTGCATCGTCACGTAGCCGATACGAAGAAAAATGACGTTACGCGAGAGAAACTTTCCTTCAGGTACGCGAGCCAATGCAATAAACTACATTTTTGACACCCCTGTAATTAGTTGGAAAAACGCAACGGAAATCTATCGATAGATGGAGCGATTTCTGGTCAATTTCATTTATCGAGGAATATCTGAGAAATTAATGAGTTTCTTGGTTAATGAAATAAGAACAGGAATAGGTAGCCGTTATCGATTTATTCAAATACTTTTATTTGCATAACAGTGTGATACAAACAGTGCGATACAATTTCTTGACTTGACCTGTCAAGTTATGACTTGAAATATGCTCGGACCAATCAGAGCCACTCTCGTACCTGATTGGCGCGGTCCCTTTTACATTCCCTACACCTTTTACATTCCGAGCTCAGCTTCCGTAATTCATTGTAATCGAAGGAACTTCGGCAATAGAGTTAGAAGTTTACAAATCAAGTCGGAGTAGTTTGACGACACAACACTTGGGTTAACGCAGTCGACTAGTTTCCGTTGAATACAAAGCTGTTCGATGGTATTTGTAAACCAACAAGAAGCTGGCGGGAAAATTGCGGTGGAAAAGGAAAAAAGCAGCATGCTGTTCGATGGTGTAAACGTCGTTGCGGCACGCCTCGCTTGTTATTGTCGTCGCGGCACGCCTCGCTCGTTATTGTCCTCGCGTGGTGTCGTTATTGTTATCAGAGTCGCGTGGAAGGGAGAGAAGGACTTTGGTCGGGGATAAAATCAACACTAGTCGCTCGGGCGTTCAGTTGACGCGCGTCGCTCGAGGTGATACCATTCCGAAAAGGTGTGCGTTGTTTCGTCTACCTTTCAACATTGTTCGCGACTACTAACGCTCGTGCTTGTTGATTCTCTACCCCTCGACAATGGTAATTGGATCGTTGAAGGTAATTTTTACTTCTCCTGAATTTCACCGGAAACAGAATTATAGGATATGAAGAATTACGAATACGCGTTTCGTTAAATCTTAATATAGATTAAAAAAATTATTTCGGCAAAGTGGGACACAAGCAAAATATTGTAGTGGTATGTGCTATAGTTTATAGTTATCACTATCTACTGATTAGAGAAATTTGATAAATTCTCTAATCCGATCAGGAATAGATAAAAATTAATTTATTCTTATTCAATATAATTATCTGAATATTTTATTAATTAATAATTAGTCGTTCAATGATTGGAATCCTAATAGTAATAATAATAACAAGAATAATTAAATGCAGAATACTGTTAAAAAAGTATTAATTGTCAATATTTTGCTTGCGTCCCACTCTGCCGAAATAATACCAGATTAGAAATGACCGACGCGGCTGTCTTTCGTTTTTCGTTTTACGTCTTCCCACTTCCACCATTCCCGCCATTAAATTGAGGATTAATCGAGCGTTCTCGATTGGTGAACCCGTACGGTTTCGGCCAATGGCCCCGGATAATTTTTCTTCTACAAAATTGGCGTATCGGAAACGAGAGGTATCCGGGCACAAAATATCGGATAATAGGAAAGCGGTTTAATTGCGTTATCTCTGGTAGCCGGTGCGTCGCGTTCTCTCGCCGGACGATAATTATTCCATCGATTCGAAATAATTATATTCTCTAGTAGGCGAACAATAATGGCGGTGGTCAGCGGCCGGCCGGTTCGGCTCGATGAATCGTAATAGGGTGAGTTTTTGCAACGGCCAACTTTGCCCTCCCTCTAGCTCCATGTTTCTTGGACCTTTACAATGAAAGCTGTGCGCGCCACTCGAATTTCATTGGCCGGGAATTGCGATCGTTTCCTACATACATATCGAATGCCGCAGGCCGTTCCGTGAATTCTTGAAATTCCTCGCGCGAGCCGAACATTCAGGGGGAAAAAACGAACAGCGGTATGGTCGATGGTTGAGGGTGAAAGGAACGGCAAAGGACAAAGACAAAGCATGAAAGCGAGAAGTTCCTACGGTTACCCGTAAAAGTCACCTGGAATGCGAACAATGATATCGAGTATCGCTTTGCCTACCAATTCCAAACATGATTAAAATATATAAATTCGGGGTCATTAACATAGAATATAAGCTTAGGTATATACTGCACTAAAAATAGATTTTTTTATGCCATTCCAACTAGTACTTACATAACATTTTTGTTTAATTGTTTCAAACAATTGAGAACTCAATTGATTTTTATTTGGACCAACGGGTTTGCAACGAAATCAATTCGAATAATAACTTTCAATTAAAATTTTCTAACGCTCAAACAACTATTCTCACCGAGTATCATCAATCTCCGTTCCACTGAGAATCTAATATCAGCGATGAAGCTTCAATAAACGGCAGATTACATTTATATCACGAAGCGATGCGACGCGTTGCGTCGCTACCCAGCTCGAAGTAGCTCGTCGCGTCGTTTCAATAAATTCCATTGTCGTTGCCAGCCCCTGTCGACGTGAAACTGTTTCGTTCTATTGTTCGAACGACGGTGATTACGTGAAGCAGGCTGGTAAACAATCGAGCCTCGTCTCGTTATTGACCTCAGGGGATGTTTTTCCCTCTTGTGTTGCAGGATCGATGCACGCGAGAAGCCGGTGACCAAAGCTCAACACTCGTCCGATTCAGGCGTGTTCGGTCCTCGAGCGTATTTTCGAACCGCCTTTCCAAGTCCGGCCGTTTTGGTGATCGAGGACATCAAGAGACACGACGCAGCTACCTATCGATGCAGAGTCGACTTCCGGAAGGGGCAGACACGCAGCTTCCGGTACAACCTCACCGTGATCGGTAAGTCTTAGCCTCAGATGATGTTCCTTTCGATTAGCTGTAACAGCGTGCGTTGCTCGTTTCGATGCTCGTAAGCTTCGCGAAACCGAGAACGGGACGAGCAGGAAAAACGGTTGACAAGATCAAAAAGCGACGCTTTCAGCGTGCCGTGAAAGGCGTACCGTAATTTCTGGTGTCAAACAAATTTAGCGGCTCGTTGAAAAGGACCCTTGAACGACATATTAGCCTCTTCGAAGGCGAAAGAGCGACCCGCGAAAAAATCGATCAACGGTTTACTCGTCGCGAAATGCACCCACGTTTTCGAATCGTTCGAAGGTAGAGAGATCGAAGTATTATATAGATCGAGAGGCGATCGCAAGATCGCAGCTAACGCGTTAACGTACTACTTTTTTCTCGAGACGTTCTCGCATTTCCATGGTACGCGGGCAAACAACACAGACTCAACTTGTGCCAGACCCGCGTTAGCGCGCCGCACTCGACCTCTAGCGAAAAGTGCAGTTCTCAGCGGGCTCTAAGTCTGATCAAACAAACGGCGACTGTTGAAAAATGCATGAGCCAATCGAAGACGCGCAACCGTTTCTGCTACCTTTTGCGCTACCGTTCCGTTCCCTGTCACGTGGATATTCCATTGGCTCTTCGCTGTTTACGCTTTCTCCCTTAATCCTGGAAACGTGATCGCGAGTTAAACACTCTTCTGGACTTCTTTAAACTCTCTCTTTCTGTCGAGCTACAGATTGCGCTCTGTTGCACTCTGTTATACCGTGTTACGGTTCTCTAACTAGACTCGAGGAAAGAAAAAGAAGTAGCACCTACTTGGATCAATTAGAAAAGAATTGTGCGGTGCGAACGCACGATTCATCTTACCCTTGTGACTTTTTAACATGACGGAGCTTGGCTTTCTTCTGGTGCGCGAACAGTAGTTATTGTTTCATTGCAAATAATTAAGAGAGGAAGAAAAAGGGTTAAGAAAACGGTGTAAGTAATATAAAATGGCAAATGAAATTCTATACATAGGATGGAATGATGTTGGGTGGTTCGGTGGCGGTGGTTCGATCGCATAAAGTCGACGAGGTGAGAAGGTGTAACTTTCATGGGTGCGCTTCAAAGCAGTCGGTGGGCGTACGGAGTACGTTCGAATTTCGGGATATACCTCATAGCTCGCGGCTGGAATATAACCTGGAAAATCCTGGCCTCGATCCTTCGATACCGGAATCCATCTTTCGCGGCAATCCGGTCTCTTCTTCCGTTCCCTAACCCGTGGATCGAACGTTAGGAAGCAACTGAAAAGAAGCGACTACGGGAAAGGGAAAAGATACAGATGGGACGGGTAGCAGAAAAAGCCAGAGCAGAGGGTGAGAAAACGGCATAAACGTCGCACTGCAGATTCCGGATAGACCCTTCGGGGCTAACGTAGAATTGCTCGATCTTTATCCGTTCAGTTTTTCGCGTCTTTTACCACAGAACACAAAGGTGAGATATCGTGAGATTTCGTGAAATTCTACGGTACCTTTTTATTTTTGATATATCGGATTCTTTTGGAAATTTCGCAGCAAAATTGTATGACAATAGAGTGCTACTAATTGTTGACCGAATTATCTTCGTCGCCTGGAAAGATCATTGATTACTCTTCTCGACACGGTTTAATAGGCGCAAAAGGAAAAAAGGGAAAACGAAAGCAAACGCGACGTGTTCGATGTTTCCACGAGAAATTCTCTCGAAGCAGCAGCAGCAGCTTAAACGAAGAAGCTTTCTGCTAGCACGCGATATTCCAAAAAAGAGTCACGGAAGAAATTGGCCCGGGCCTGGAGAACCGTCCGCTTTGAGCAAGGTATTTTCATCAGAGGAGATTGGTTCCCAAGAGTTCCTAGATTGCGTCCGTCCACTGGATTTTCCCTCGTAACAGGCGTCCTTCCGCTCTTCCCTTCTTCACAAGCTGACCCACCTTTTTATCGGTCATTTCCCTTTCTTTCATATCCTGCCTCTACCTTCCATCGTCGATGATACTAGCCACCGATACGCGTATCCTTTTGCTTCGACCTACGACCTCTCGCTTCTCTGTCGAACGAACGAAACGAAGGAAACTAAGGAAACTTTGTTCTTTAGACTGGATCGACTTCTCTTCCGTTCTACGGGATTGTTTTCCATCGAAAGATTGCTCTCTTCTATCTTCGCGTTATCGCCTGACAATTCGTTCCGGAAACGCGGACGGTTATTCCCGTAAGTTTCTTGAGGGGGTGGAAGAAAAAAAGAAAAAGTAAGGAAGTAGATGGTGAATCGCACGCGTACGCGTTGATTGGCGTTGTTGGAAATCCTCCTCGTGTCGGAAGGGTCTCGAAACGCGTATTTTTGTGAGGAAAAAAAAGAGTAGTTGAAACGACGGTGACGATGGCTATGGAGACGACGGGAAGCAAAAGAGAGATAAAGAGACAGATAACAAAAGCAAGGGTGATGGATCTTGGAGATCTGTGCCGCGTCTGGTTGGATAGAGACGGAAAATTGTAAAAGATGGAAGCGAAGCCTGCCGTTGAAGTGGTAGGAAGGAAGAATAGAGATCTGCCCTCGTTAAGGAAATAATCCGCGGCTTAATTAAATACAGCGCAATTAGTTCTGCTTCTATATTCGGGCTGCTGGCTGTGTGCGTAAGCTCTCCAGAGCTACAGGCTGCATCGAGGTTGCGGGGAAAATTCCGTTTCGCCAAGAGATTCCTGAAAAGCAAACCTCAACGGGATTTCGATAACAACCAGACGCAACGAACAAGAGGGAAGGTGCTCATTTTCCTTTTTCAATATGTTACCTCGAAGAAACATCGCTTGTTCATTCGAAAATATAAAGTTTTACGGTTATTCTGAATATTTTGAAATGATCTGTGTATGTACACAGAGAGAAAGAGCAGATAGAGTTTTCTCCGTTAACTTTCTGGTAACAATGTGTACGTGTTCGTAAGTTAACGGTACCTACTTAGAACTGTAACAGGGATGTTAATGAAAAATGTTAGGTGAAAATCTTTATTTATAAGGAAAGGAATACATATAAACTTTACGTATAACTTTGCTATTTTCATCGTTATCGAGAGCCACGAACTGCCTAATAAATAAAAGAACTAGAGCCAAGAAACAGAGAGACACGAATGGATCCGAGCAGATTAGACGGTTGAATTAGAATTTCAAAAATCCACGCGAAACTTTTAGCGTTAACTCGACGAGTCAAAGTCTGTTGAAGAAAGTGTAAAGAGAGGAAAAGAGAGAGTTGTGCATAGAAATGGACTGGGGACTGGACAAACCCCGTCGTTAAGTTTTCCCTTAATTAATCTCTCTTCTCCTTTCGCTTCTTGTCTCTACTTCTTCGTCTTCCCTTTTTTCCTTCCTTCCTTTCTTTGCTCACCATTTCGCTGGCCCATCTCTTTGTCCCCGTTCTCGTTTTATTCCATCCGACTATATTTCACCGCACCTTCTTCCGGTTGCATTAGCGTTCCCTCTGGAAAATCTCGTTCGCGACGTTTTTCCACGATCGATTTCCCAGATCGATCTCCTTTCTAGTCCGCGACGTTGAGGCAAGTTTCAGCCACGCGAAAAGAAAAAAGAAAGAAAAGAAACCGTGTCACGCAATTCCCTTAGATCGCATGTTTTCGATACGTCCCGATGAAACTTCTTAATATCGTGATCTAACGGAGGCTGAGGTTAAATTTAAACAAAAACCATACTTGCCAATATTGTAAAATACAATCAATGTAAAATGATCGATAATCATAGAAAGTTCGTATGCAATTTCCCATAGTAAAGCAGAAATAAAAACAAACGATGAATTGGAAAGGTAAAAACGATCCAATATCGAGGGAACAGTCTCCAAAGAAAAAAATGGTGGTGTCGCGACGCGTCGCGTCGCGTTGACTCGACGGTATGGCACCGCAGCTCGCGCATCGGTGTCTCGTTAAATAACTCTTCTTTATTCCAACAAGCAGAGCAATTTCACTTGAAAAGCGTTGAGCAGCAATTTTTTCCGGGCTTTTACTCGCGCGCACACGCTTCTCTGCACACACGTAGCCGGAATACGGGTGGTAGTTTGTCCCGAGGTCGGCAACCCTTTTTTTTCTTGTTTTTTTTTTTTTTTTTTTTTTTTTCTTTATTTCCCAGGTCGGTGCGGGTGTAGGGTTATGTTCTACGTGTCGACTAATGGGGAAAAATAGTAAGAGTGGAGCAAAGGTAGGGGTTGGATGGGTGGCGAAGGGGTGGTTAAAAAAAGAGCAAGAAGAGAAGAGAAATGAAAGAGAAGGGAAGAGGAGAAAAAAAAAAAAGTTGGCTGTTCGCGCTATTGGCCACCGGATAGCTGTACATAATCGAGCCTCTCTGTGGTGAGGATAATTAACCCCTCGCGCGATGTCCTCTCGCGAACCGTATAAATTGAATCGCTGGGTACTTCTTTCCCTTCTATACCTCCTACACTCTACTCTCCTCTCCTTTTCTCCACGCTTTCGATAATCCTCCTCTCGGCTCCGCCGCGTTGCTAATGCTTCGTCGACCAGAGGCTGCTCGCAAATCGAATTAAACCGACGATTATACGCGGGTTCGCTTTCTTTCGCGAACGAACGAGCATCATTGCTTCGCTACGAAGGGTAAGAGGGAATCGAGGAAAAAAAGAAATAGAAGTAGAACGAAATGAAAGAAGAAAGAGGGATCGGCACAGAAAGGGAGAGACGTAGTTTTTTCGAGATCGTTGAAACGAGTAAAGAACCGAGCGATCGATGCTAGGAAATTTTTCGACCAATCGTCGAGTCGTGTTGGAACAGTACGGAGAGGAACGAATATTCGACAAGATGGGAAAATTCGGGTGGAATGCGAGCGGAGATCGGAAGGTGCGAAAGGTCATGGTGGAAGCATGGGAGAAGAACGTAGGGTTAAAAAGGGGCTGACGAAAAGGGGCTCCAAGATCGGAAAAACGGTCCACGGGAAGTCCCGTGAATTTATGGCCGACATAAATCCAAACTGGTGCCAACTCGAGTGTAC